CAAGCTCAGGCAGAGCTCGCCCAGATGTGGACCTTCGTAGACGACACTGTCCTTCGAGTCGAAGGAGTCCTACGCACACTACAGAAGCACCTCCCCCGTGCCGCCAAGACGCTCTGCGACGGTCTGAAGGAGTTCGAGCTGCCTATCTCTGACAAGACGGTCCTCATCGGCTCCACCCCCAAGGTCCGCAAATCGCTAGCCAAGAAGTTGCGGCAGTACGACATCCCAGTTACTGCGACCGCCACGGCCGTTGACCTCGGTGTTGACGCGGCTGCGGCTACTCGACGGGTACAAGCCAAAGCCAGGAAGCGACAGAGCTCAGCCGCAGCTAGGTTTCGCAAGATACACCGACTACGGAGCACTGCACAGCAGGCTCGAATCTCAGCAGGACTGTGGCGTATTGGCGCTCTCCCCGAAGGAGTTTTCGGTCATCAGGTGCGCGGCCTCGCTCGGCACGCTCTACTACGATGGCGGCGGCAGGCCGCCATTGCGGCCACGGGGGCAGCAGCGGGCCGATGCCTCACCTCCCTCCTCGGCGCCACCTTCGACGGCATGGACCCAGGAGTTTCCCTAAGGATCGAATTCATCGAGGCTTGGCTTCAGCACTGGATACGCCACCCGAGCACGCACGCCAGGATCATCAGAGCATGGCCAAGGATCAAGACCACTTTGCTCGCCGCAGGCCCCAAGCTGTGGTGCAGGGTCAAGGGGCCCACTGGCGCGGCCATCGCCACCCTGCTGGAGGCCAGCTGGGAGCCGACCTCAGCTACCACGTGGGGACGCACGAAGGACGGCTACATCGAGGAGTGGAACCTCCCCCCTGCCGATGACCCTGACCTCCTCGACGCCGACATCCACACAGTATTGCAGGACCTCAGCGAGGATTTGCACAGGCTCCTCTGGACTCAGGCCGCTACGCATGACCATGGTGTCACGCTGGCTGGAGGTGCGGACATGGTCACTATCCGCATTGAACAAAGGAGGCTCCTCGCAAACGGTGATTTCAGCGACTGGGCCCTCAACAACACCGTCATCAGTGGTGGACAATGGACCAGAGACCGCCTCCACAACGCGGGCTACCAGATCGACAAGAACTGCGACCGATGCAGCGCAGCAGTTCCTGAAACCTTGTTTCACCGAATGTGGCAGTGCGAGGCGAATGTGGGACCTGAGTTTGAGGCCAGTGACAAGTTACTACCGCGAGCCGTGGCGGGGGCCAATGCTGACCCTGCCCTGTGGCTCCGTGGCATCCCCTCTGTCGCTCTCACTACGCCCGCGTTCGAGCCATTGACTGGGAGGGACGGGTGGGAGCTTGTTGGTGCGGCGCGGGAGGGGTTGCCGTCGTGGGAAGGAGCTCGTAACGCTGAGGGCGAGTTTTTCTTTTTGGCGACGGGTCTGGCGGCGCCTTTTCCGACGACGTCAGGCGACGCCGTGTTGGTTCTGGCCTCGCGGCCCTCCGATGGGACCCTCCCTCGGCCTCCTGGACCCTCCGCGCGGGCCTCCTCGCCCCCCTCCCAGGCCTTCGCCAGACCGTCCCAAGAGGCGAATTGCAGGCGTTTTGCCTGGCACTGGAGACGTGCCAGCAGGATTTCACGTTTGTTACTGATCACCTAGCCCTGCAGCGCGGCTGGCAGAATGGCAGATGTCTCAGACCTGGCAGCCTCAGAGGCAAGAATAAGAATGGGGATCTCTGGCTGAGAAGTCGGCACCTCGTGCAGGATCGATCTGGCGGCTGCTCTTCGGTCTCGGTGCTCTGGACCCCATCTCACGCCGATCCCCTCACGTTGCATGGTTTCCAAAAAATTCTGGCTCTCGGCAACCAGCATGCCGACGAGCTCGCGGGAAGCGCGGCCCATAAGTCGGCCACCCTTGCCCTCCCGCCCGTCCCCAGGACCGATGAATACGACGCTATTGCAGCCATCGTCCGACAGAGGGCACGACTGATTTTACTTTCTATAGGCAAGAATTCAGAGCCTCGAGGACTGTGGCCAGAGAGGCAACCCACACAAGAGGCAGCACCTCGCTCTCAGTTGCAGACCGCGATCGCGGCTTCTCAGCACAGTTTCGAGCGGTGTGCAGACAAATGGAGATGCCCTGCCTGCCTCATCATCGTTGACGCTTGCCACGTTATTCCAGCTGCCGCCACTGAGTGTGTGCCGCCTTGCCCCCTTCCTGAGTTCGCTGCGTGTGGAGAGGTGCTGTGGTCGAGGGGTCCCCGCGTGATCAGTGGCAAGTTGATCCACCCCTCCCACACTTTGGCCACCATCCCCAAGTGGCAATTGTTCTTCTGTGTTAAGTGCGGCCATACGGCCACGCACCAGGTTAAATGCCTACTTTTGCCGTGCCCTCTCTCCCACCAAGTGGGAGAGCGCAGGGCCCTGGGACCCACTGGCAATGGCCTCGAGAACCTCAGCAGGATCAGGCGAGGCCTCCACCCGTCCAGATCGGGCCCCAGCAAGTCTGTGCTAGAGGCTTTGCACGTTTCGGCAGCCGAAGCCGCGATCGGTTCCTACGCGGCGGGAGCTGCCTCCGAGTAAATTGTGAGGCCAGGGGGGCCTGTCGCGGTGGGCCGTGGGATGTCGCCCCCCACGGCCCTCCGAGAAATACTGGATGGCCCCCTGGCAGCTCTGGGTTCCGAACGGACTACGTCCGATGACGCCACCTCCACTCCTCATCCCCCTCCTCATCCCCTCCTTCCTCCTCACTCCTTCCTCCTCCTTTTCCTACTCCTCTACCTCTCCTCCTCCTCCTCCTCCTCCCCCGCCCCCTCCCCTCGCCCCTCCCCTCCACTCCCCCTCCGCCTCCTCCTCCTTCCTCCTCCTTCCTCTCCCTCCTCCTCTCCTCCTCCATCCATCCTCCTCTACTCCTCCTCCTTCCACCTCCTACCCTCCTCCTTCTCCTCCCCTCCTCCTTCTCCTCTCCTCCTCCTCTCCTCCCTCCCATCCTCCTCCCCTCCTCATTCCTTCTCCTCCTCCTCTCCTACCTCCTCCTCCTCCTCCTCCTCCTCCTCCTCCTCCTCCTCCTCTGCCGGCAGCAGCCCTGGATCTTCGACGGTCGGATCCTTGCTCGGTCCCAGCGCGCTTCCTTGGCTTCGGCCTCGGGGGCCCTGGCCTCGGACCTTCGATGGTCGGATCCCTGCTCGGTCCCAGCGCGCTTCCTCGACTTCGGCGTTGGGGGCCCTGCGTGGGGCCCCGGGGCCATCAGGAACGGGTCCGGGACGAAACGAAGAGCTACCCCCAGGTAAGGGGTCTCGACCTCTGGGGCCGCGCACTCGAAGAGTCACATCGTCGGAGGTCTGGTCGTCGCCGCGTCGTCGTTTCCCTCTGTCCCTCCTCGGGGCCGTTCTTTGTACGTTGAATGCTCAGGCGCCACGTTACCCCGGGCGGTGTCGGCCGCCTGGGGGGGAAGGTGGGGCTCCAACCCGTGGGGCACACGTGCCCCTCGGTCTGAGGTGCGAGCAGGAGCCCACCCCTCGCCCTCTCTCTCTCCCCCTGGACGCCTCCCCTGCAGAGTGGGGAGGAGGAGGAGGAGGAGGAGGAGGAGGAGGAGGGGGAGGGGGAGGGGGCGGGGAGGCGGAGAGAGGAGGAGGAGGAGGAGGAGGAGGAGGAGGAGGAGGAGGAGGAGGAGGGGAGGAGGAGGGAGGAGAGGAGGAGGAGGAGGGGAGGAGGGGGCGGGTGCTGGGGCGGGGAGAGGAGGAGGAGGAGGAGGAGGGGAGGAGGAGGAGAGGAGGAGGCGGAGGAGGAGGGGAGGAGGCGGAGGGAGGAGGGCCCAGATGAGTCCAGGAGCCATTGGGATGCTGCAAGCGCCCTTTTTGCCCTCCCCCGCCCCCGTTTTTTTTTTTTTTGGTTTTTTTTAAAAAAGCCGCCGTAGGGTGCCTCGCTAAACGTGGCGGACAGGGTGGCCCCTCGTCCGCCTGCGCGGCGCGAGCGCCCCGACGCGAGCCCCGACGCGAGTGGCGAGCGCGCCCCGTGTGCCTGCCTGCCTCGGGCGAGGCGCCGCGTGCTGCGAGGGGTCCGCCCGCCGTCCTCCAGGGCGGGGCGAGGGGCAAGCGACAGCCCCAGGCGTGCTCGCGCCGTGGAAGAAGAAGAAACAACAACAACAACAACAACAACAACAACAACAACAACAACAACAACAACAACAACAACAACAACAACAACAACAACAACAACAACAACAACAACAACAACAACAACAACAACAACAACAAACCAAAAAAAAAAACAAAAAAAAAAAACGGGGCGGAGGGTTCTCGTCGGCTTCGGCCTCTGGAGGCCCTCGCCGGGCCCCGGGACCGTCCGGAAACGGCGCGGGGTGGGGAGCCGGTCCCGGGGAAGGGGTCGGGACTTCCAGGGACGCCGTCCTGGAGAAATCAGGACGTCGCATGTCCAGGGCCCCGTTTTGGAAAGGGGGGGCGGCCAAGAGGGGGGGTCATGACTAGGGGGCGGGGGGGATGTCGGGCGCCTCTCCTTGTTTCAATGCGTCCCCGGCCCCCCCCCTTGGGCCGCGCACGTGCCGCCAGCCATTATTTGCGCCCCCCCCCTCCTGGACGCCCCCGTCTTGGACGCCCCCGAGGAAAGGGAAGTTATCCCCTCAATCCGTGCAAGCGCTGAACAGCTGTAGTATTATAGTTTTGAACACTGGACCACAACATTCGATGCGGTCTCGGACTCCATCCTTGTGATTCCTGGAAGTTCTTAAAACGAGTTTGCGCGGCGCTGAGGTGCTCCATTCTTGAAACTGATAGAAGGTGTTAGACGCATGCGTGCGGCGCGATGGCGAGAGCTGCATTTTGAAACTGGTCGGCCTCCTTCCCTGTAAATGTCGGAGCACGTTAGTGAAGCATGGGACAGCAAGTCGCAAGGAAGTCTCAAGCGAAACGCCCGGCCCAGCCTAATTACGAACACGTTTGAGGAGAAGGGGGGATGAGGGACGAGGACAAGGACGAGGAGGGAGGACGAAGCGGAGGGCTCCCTGACCCCCGCCGCCCTCGCTGGCAGGCAGCGGCCAAGGTGGCCAGGGCTATCCCCCAAGTGGCGGCTACCCGCCGCCCAGCGCGGAGGTGCCTCGGCGAGGAGGAGACTCAGGAAGAGGAGGAGGAGGAAAGGAGGAGGAGGACGAGGGATGAGGGACGAGGGGACGAGGCACCAGAGGGGAACCAGAAGGAGGAGGACGAGGAAACATGGATAAGATGTGGAGAGGAGGAGGAGGAAGAGGAGGAGGAGGAGGAAACCTTGAAGTCAATGAACGCATACAGTAGCTTAGTCATTTCGCGCATGGGGCAAAGTACAAAGTTGGCCAGGAGGCGAGTGGTGCCTCTCCTGAAGTGTCGGCCAGACGCATGGTGCCCGGGCCTTGATGTTTGGTGGACCTATAGTGTCCCACCTTGCCCACCCCGTCCCGCACACAGTGGAGGTGGAAGCGGAGGAGTAGGGGGGGGGAGAAGGGGAGGGGGAGAGAGAGAGGGAAGAGGAACGGGAGGTTGAGGGGGATGAGGGGGGGAGGATGAGGAGGAGGGAGCCAAGAAGACGAGGAGGAGGAGGAGGAGCAGCAGCAGCAGCAGCAGGAGGAGGAGGGGCAGAAGGGCGAGAAGGAGAGAGTCCTTTCGGCTGCCTCAGGAGTCCCCTGCGGGGGTGGCAGTCCCGCCAGGTAGCCGCGGAAGAGGAGGAGGAGGAGAAGGAGGATGATGAGGAGGAGGAGGAGGAGGACCAATGTGCACCCAATTTTTCGTCAACGATAATGAAATACACCCTCCCTCCAAGATTCCATTTCGCAGGCACCTATAAGGGATCATGCCCACTGAGGGAATTGCCCCGTTGGGGGACAGACGTGTGAACAGCTTGAAGCTTGCCAAAAACACCGTTCTTAGGAACTCAACGCCACGAGTTAACCTGACTGATATGTGTTGGCGATCCTGAATCGTGCCAGAACACAAGTCCTGGGATTTCGGCACCGCGAATCAACGTAACTGGTGCGCCCTGACAACCCTGAATCGTTACATAATGCCGCGTCTGGAACGTAAACCATGTGAATTAGTGAAACGTATGCAAATGCTTAACTTTAACGAGTGTGCGCAGCGCTAAGGCGAGAGCCACACGTTAGAAAGGAACCGCCCTAAATCCGTGAAGCACTTGCAAAAGTTTCAAACGAATGCGCGCGGCGTTAAGGCTGAAGCCACATTGTGAAAACGGCCCGCCCTCAACCCGTGAAACTTCTGCAAACCTTGAAAGCGAATGCGCGCGGCGCTAAGGCGAGAGCCACATTGTGGAAAGGAATCGCCCTCAATCCGTGACACTCTTGTAAATGTTTAAAACGAATGTGCGCGGCGCTAAGGCAAGAGCCACATGTTGAAAACCACCCGCACCCCATGTGTGAAACGGTTGTCAATGTTTAAACATCAGGGTCACGCGTGGTGAGGAAGTCTCAAGCGAAACGCCCAGCCCGCCCTTTCGACCGGCCTCGGGGTGCGACAGGGAAGAAGAGGAGGAGAAGAAGGAGAAGGAGGAGGAGGGAGAGGAGAAGGAGGAAAAGGCCAGAGGCCAGAGCGAATCCAACTTGCATCAACGATGGTGCAACAGACCATCCCTTCTCAAAGCCCCTCTTCAGAAGTCCCCGTAAGCATTCCAGTCCACTGCGGAATGTGCCTTCCGTGAGTGACGAGTGCCCCGTGAGCTTGCCATTTAGGGGGGACCGCGATTTATGAAGGATACACCTTCCATCCGTTCAACTGTAAGCCGTGCAAAGGGTAGGATCGTAAAGTTCAAGTGTCAAAGCAGCAGCTCCTTGTTTGGAAAGGGTCTTGCATTCGACAGTGAACGCGTTACACAGATCCGATGTGTTCGCCATGAAGTTGTAGGAACTCGCAAGCGATAATGCAATGTTGAAAAGGAACCACCCTCCACAGTTGCAGCTGCTGTATTCCAGGATGTCTTAAGCGGGAGCCCAATGTTCAAAACGAACCGCCCTCCACACATGTTATGTTTGCAATCCCAAGACAAGTGCACACAGCGCCAAGGCGGCAATTGCATCTCGAAGACGCAAGTGTCGCGCAGCTGTCGCAAGATTAAAAGGCGAATGCGTGGCGAAAAGGCGAGGACCCAAATGTGAATACGGTATCTCCCCAATGTGGCCGGCTTGATTCACGTAAGACGAGCGTGCGTGGCGCAAAGGCACAAACACAATTTGAACACGACATGTGTTCCATGTGTGCACTTGGTGGGACGCCAAGCTTCGATGCACGAACGTGCGATGGAGTCTCAGGCGAGATGCCAGTTCCGCTCTAACGACACGCTTGGTAGTGCGACAGGGAGGAGCGATCGATCAGGAGAAGGGATGGAGGATGAGGAGGAGGAGGAGGAGGAGGAGGAGGACTTGAGGTAATCTGGCTCTGGAGGCGCCTTAACCCCGTTAGTGGGCCCAGCTCCCTGGAGCCACCACCTTTTAGGGCACGGTGGCCCGATGTGATATACGGCCTGGAGCCGTCTGGGTCCAGACAGGAGGAGGAGGAGGAGGAGGAGGAGGAGGAGGAGGAGGAGGAGGAGGAGGAGGAGGAGATGGAGGAGGAGGAGGAGGAGGAGGAGCAGCAGAGGAGCAAGCAGGAGGAGCAGCAGGAGAGAGCAGGCAGAGGAGCAGCAGGAGGAGCAGCAGGAGGAGCAGGAGGAGGAGCAGGAGGCGGCAGGGGAGGGACGACGGGGATGGGGGGGCTGGGGTGAATGGGAGCGGGGCGGGGGCGAGGACGGGGGCGAAAGGTGAAGAGGGAAGGGGGGCGGGGAGGGGCGCGAAAGGTGGAGAGTGGGAGGGGGAGCGGTCCATGGATGAGAAGGAGGGGGGCGGAGGAGGGAAGAGGCGGAGCCTGAGGCGGAGACGGAAGCGGAGGAGAAGGGGAGAAGGGTGGCGAGGAACAGGATAAGGAGCAAGGGGCAGCAGGAGCAGCGAAAGATCTACCGCCGCTGCAAGAAGCGGAAACAGGAGTGTCCCCGCAATCGCCTCAAGTGGTCAAAGTTTCCCAGAATTGCCGCTCCAGTGCTGGCAGTCCCCGCGGCAGCTTGCGCAGTACCTCACGCCTCGCCAGCATCCCGAGCGCCAACTTGAAGAGCGGCAGGGCCCGCTGGAGTGCGCGCGTCGGCGGCGGAGGAGTGGAAGGAGAGGAGGAAGATGAGCAGGAGTGGGGGGGGGGAGGACGATGAGGAGAGGAGCAACAAAACGAGGTCAGGGATGGGGGCCGCCCGCTACCAGCGGGCTGATGCTGCTCCTGCTGCAGCGGGTAAGGGCGGCGCCCCCGCCCTTCCTCGTTTCTCTCTGATTCCCCCGTCGCTCCCTCGGGCTGCGTCGTCGTGGTGGCTCCCAGCCCCAGGGGTTCGCGGAGGGTGGTGCGTTGCCCACCCCAAAGTTCGGGTGGTCAAGATGGAGCTTGCCCGCATCGCTGCACCCTGGAGGAGGAGGAGGAGTTCAAGGGGGAGGCGGGGGAAGAAGAAGAGGGGAACCTGGCTCAGTACACCGGTCACGTTCACCGTCAAATAATTGTATTCCCCAGCACACGCCAGTCGCCAGTCTCGACTTTTCGGCGCCTCGTATTCCCACCATCTCTAGATCCCCCTCCTCTTCACCTCAGGGCGTGTTCCACCCCATTCCAACTTCCCCTGCTCCCCTACTACTATACTACCTCCTCGTCCTTCTATATGCCGTCCAGGTCCATCCTCCTCACATTCCGTCGTCACTTCCCTCCCTCGTCATTGTCCTCCTCCTCCTCCTCCTCCTCCTCCTCCCCCTCCTCCTCCTCCCCCTCCTCCTCCTCCCCCTCCTCCTCCTCCCACCTGTCCTTAATCCCCCATCACCGTCTCCCATCAGGTTCTCGCCGCCTCCCCCTCGGCTCCTCATCCTGCTCCTCCTCCTCCCGCTCCCCCCTCGCCGTCCAGCGGCGGCGGCGGCGGGGACGCCGCCGACGCCGCCGACGGCGCCGACGACGCCGAGCGCGATGCGCGCCCTGCCACAGGCGCCCGCCGCCGACTGGCCGCCGGCCGCGGGCCACGGCGGCCCGCCCGAGGGCGCGTCCCGCTCGCTCGGCGCGCCCCGCCCTCTGCTCGCCGCCGTGGCCGCGGGCGTCGCCGCCGCTTCGTCGGGGTTTCGCCGTCGTCGTGTCCCTCCTCCCCTCCTCCTCCTCCACTCCTCCTCCTCCTCCTCCTCCTCCCTCCTCCTCCTCCTCCTCCTCCTCCTCCTCCTCATGCCTCCTCTCCTCCTCCTCCTCCTCCCCTCCTCCTCCTCCTCCTCCTCCTCCTTCTCTGGACCGAAAAGCCCCTGGCCTGGCGGTCCAAGGGCGGCGCCGTCGTCGGCGCCGTCGGAGCTGCCGCCGCCGCTGGAGGCGGGGTGGGAGTCGAGCTGACGTCCTCGGGTCGTCGTCGGGCGGCGGGTGGGACGGTGGGGACGCGGGCGGAGGATAAGGAGGAGGAGGAGGAAAGGAGGAGGAGGAGGAGGAGGAGGAGGAAGGAGGAGGAGGAGAGGAGAGGAGGAGAGGAGGAGTAGGAGGGAGGCGGAGGAGGGAGGGAAGAGGAGGAGGAGGAGGAGGATGGAGAGGAGGAGGAGGAGGAGGAGGAGGAGAGGAGGAGGAGGAGGAGGAGGAGGAGGAGGAGGAGGAGGAGGAGGAGGAGAGGAAGGGACCAGTGTAGACCCAGGACTCATCGACGATGTTGAAATGCACCCTCCCTCCAAGATCCCTCTCCATGGGCCCCCCACAGGAGGCCATTTCCACTGAGGGGGTTGCACCGTTGGGGGACAACCGTTTAAACATCTTGTAGCGTGCCAAAACAACATTCTCAGGATTTCAACGCCACGAGTTAACCTGACTCATATGTTTTGGCGATCCTGAATCGTGCCAGAACACCGTTCCTGTGACGTCTTCAACACCGCGAATCAACGTAACTTCTGCGCCCTGACAATCCTGAACCGTTCCAGAACCCAACTTTGAAAAGGAACCGCCCTCAATCCGTGAAGCTCTTGCAAAGTTTTCGAACGAATGCTCGCGGCGCTAAGGCGAGAGCCACATTTGAAAGCCATGTGCCCTCAATCCGCGAAGCTCTTGCAATGAGACAGAAAACGAATGTGCGCGGCGCCATGGCAAGAGCCACACTTTGAAGACCACCCGCCCTCAAGCCTTGCAACGTCTCAGAGAACGAGTGTGTGCGGCGCCGAGGCGAGAGCAACACTTTTGGAAACCACCCGCCTTCCATCCGTGAAGCTCTTGCAACGTGTTGCAACGAATGTCCGTGGCGCTATGGCGAGAGCCACATTTTGAAAGCCACCCGCCCTCAATCCGCTCATTTCTCGCAATATTTGAGAACGGATGCACGTGGCGCTGAGGCGAGAGCCACATGTTAAAAAACAACCCGCCCTCCATCTGTGAACCTGCTGTCAATTGCCCAGCAGCAGGATCATCACATAGGAGGAAGTCTCAGGCGAAACGCCCGGCCCGCCCTTAAGGAAAAGGAATGGAGGAGGAGGGGAAGGAGGAGATGGAAAGGGAGGAGGAGGATGAGATGGAAAGGGAGGAGGGGGAGGAGATGGAAAGGGAGGAGGAGGATATGGAACGGGAGGAGGAGGAGGAGGAAGAGGCCTGAGGTCGGAGGAGGGAGGAGGAAAGCAGAGGAGGGAGGAGAACGGCAGAGAAGGGCGAAGGAGAGCGGGGGAAGGCGATGGGAGGAAGAGGGAGGGCCAAAGGAGGGAGGAGGACCTCCGACCTTGCTCTGGCGGGCCGCTCCCTGATGGACATGAACCCACTGGCAAGATCGTTGGCGGCAGCCCGCGAGAGAGTCGCGACAGCACACTCAGCCTCGCTCTCGTGTGTGGCCGAGGTGGTGTCAGAGTGGAGGGACAGACCCCCGCGAGCAACTCTGGGCGGCGTCTGCGCAGTGCCTCCCGCACGCTCACAACAGCACAGCACGCCCCGAGCGCAGGCGAGCGTATGAGAAGAGTGCTTGGCATCGCTCGGACGTGTGCGGCTTTTCCTCGGCGACAACCGTCGAGGAGCATCCTTGATCATTTGGCGAAAAAGCCACGCGCGAAACCAAAACAAAAACACACACACACACACGGAGTGGACGCCCGAGCGATGGCGAGAGAGTGGGCAGGAGGGAAGGACCGGTGCGGCGCCGGGCCGCTGCGGGACCCGCGCTCCGAGGGGTGCCTCCCACGACGGTCTCCCTGGCGGCGCCGAGTGCGGAGGCACTGCCGCGAGAGGCGGGGGACCTGCGCGCCTGCACGCCTGGCAGCGAAACTGGGGGGCCACACATGTGGACCCTACCCCTACCCCCCACGATGTTTGAGGGGGAGGGTGGGGTTCACTTCGTTCGGGAGCTCCCGAGCGAAGGGAGCCCCAGCCTCCCCCGCAAAAATCGTGGGGGGATAGGGGTAGGGTCCACATGTGGCCCCCTGGAAACATGCCTCTGATCACCACGGGGGCACGGCCAGCGGCGAGGAGCCGCCGCCGACGGACGGCGTCTGCCGGCAGTGCCCGAGGGGACGGACGGCGTCTGCCGGCAGTGCCCGAGGGCGGGGAGGCTGTCGACCGATTCGGTCGGATTCGTCTCGTGCAGCAGGCGAGGGCGACCTCCCGGTTGACTTCCAAGAGTCGGGGCAACATTCGGGAGGGCATCAGCTCAGCATCAACGACGAGCTGGACATACTCGTGGACGGCCTCCCCTTTGGCGGCGGCCACACAATCAGAGTGATCCGCACACGAATCCAGAACGTGCTCGGCCTCCGTGAGGCCCCGTGCTGTTCTCATCGAAGCCGTGGAATGGGCGTTCGTCCAGATCGCCTCGACCTTCCCCGATCGATTGTCAAGACGATCCCGAATAAGGCGCAAGAGGTCGAGCGAAGGCGAACTACGGGCGATCAGGGACCTGGGCCGCCTGCGGGCCCACACCAAGGGCAGGTGGTCCGAGCACGCGACGCTGGCGCCGGAATGGTGCACTGGCAGCACGAGGAAGGCGTGCAGCTCTGCCCTGGAGCTGCTCTGCTCGGCGACGGGCACTCCGGATCTGCTCCTCCTCCTCCTCCTCCTCCTCCTCCTCCTCCTCCTCCTCCTCCTCCTCCTCCTCCTCCTCCTCCTCCTCCTCTTCCTCCTCCTCCTCCTCCTCCTCCTCCTCCTCCTCCTCCACCTCCATAGCAGAGTTGGGGGGGGGGTCACGAACCACCATGGGCACTTGTGCTGTCGAGCTGAACCATGACCCATCCACACCTGCGCCACCTCTAATCCTTGGCCCACTTCCCGCCCGAGCCGTCGAGGCCTCACACGGACCTCCTTCAGCCACCTGTCCCTGATCCAAGGCGCCCCAGCCGAAGGGAAGCGAGGACGCCGGGGGAATGCGATCCACGGCGGCAGCCAATGTTGGTAACCCACGGGTCCAGAAGGCACCTTCAGGGCAGGCAGCCCCCCGTCGAGCCCTGGCGGCTTCGGACAGAATGCTGCGGGAAGCCGTTTCACGAACGGACGCCTCCAATCGGAGCAGGAAATCGGGGGCATCTGACTCGAGGACCCTGGAATGAGTAGCCCGCCTGGCAGGGGAATCAGGCGCCCAACCAAGGTCAAGTAGCATGGTAATCACCGCAGCAATGGGGCTCTTGACCTTTCGCCACCGACGGTTGGCAGGCAGAGCGAGAAGCTTGTCACGAATCTGGCGCATACTGGGAGACAAGCCGTACCAAACACTACCTCGTGCCTGCGACTGCTCACTGCGCAATCGATAGGTAGGGCCATCCCAGTGTTGGTGCCGAATTTCCAACGCGCCCTCCGAAACGCCATACGCCTCCTAAGCTGGATTGTTGTGGCACACCTACTCCTACACGCCGCAATAATAACCCCAAAGTCCTTGACAGCCTCCCAAGCCTCCATTGGGATCCCCAACGTCCTGAACTCGACCCAAGACTCTTAGCAACAACGGCACTGGACGCGACCATGGCGCTCTTAATAGAGACCTTGCAACCTATGGAGTTCACGGCCCGAAACCAGGCGAAAGGAAGCATGGCTATCACATTAAGCCTGCACTGGACAGGGAACGCGAGTTCGTGCTCCACGCGGCGAAAGATCCGCACTACCCCTTCGAGCGCACGGCCATGGAGAGAGAGAGACAGAGAGAGTAGCCAAGAGCGGAAGAAACAGAAATAGTGGCAAGCTTGGACTAGATCAAGGGCTTCCAGGTCTGGGGTAACCATGACGGCGAGCTGAGCAGAAGCCTTGAGATCCCGAAGGGACCCGTTTAGGAGGTCCCGCAGGGAATCTGAGGGGTACCACCAATTGGCCAAGGAGCTCTCCCGATATCGCCTCGTATCAGCATGTGTTTGCTTTCTCCCATCGAACCTCCTGAAATACAGATCAGTCTCGACCATCAGGCCTGAACCACGTGCGGAGCGTAGGGGCCCCGCCAAGGAGGCAAGTGCGGAGCCACTCTCGAATGCCCGCGTCGTTGCCCGCTCGAGCCCTGGCCCAGGCATGCCTACGACAGATCGTAGCAGCAGCGCCGATCCGTGAGCGAACCTCGCCCTTGTCGAATGAGGGGTCGGATGGGCTCTGGACTACCAATGCGCCTGCTCGCGAGAGAGAGAGAGAGGGAGAGGGGGGGAGTGCAACGGCTCGAGGTGAGACAGTATAGCGGTGGCCAGCCCAGACAAAAGATTCCAGAGGCGAGAAGAGTGGCGTACACTGCGACCCCCGCCTTCCAAAGTCACATCCGATACGAAATCACATAGTGATCACAAACACAAGCACAAACGCACATACGAAATCACATAGCGCACCACCACAAACACAAGTGATCACAGGAACAGCTCTGTTTGTGCTGTCCGTGCCGTCGGAGCGACCCCGAAAACCTTCGCAGCCCAAAGCCGCGACCCAGGCCCGAGAGGGTTCGACAGCAGCACATACCCGAGGAAGCATCACGCACTCGGCGGACCTGGACAACACGACGCAGAGTTTGAGATCGTTCCCCAGAGAGGCCCTCCTCTGACCATGTTCCAGACAAGCCGAGCTGGCATCTCCGTTGCTGGCATGGTGGAGCCAGGCATGGTCAGGGCCAGGCGTGATCGGGGAAGCTGCACACGTGACGCGGCGTTCGACCACGAGGCGAAGAACGCCAGCAGCGACGGCTGCCAGCAAGCATGCGTGTGTCTTGAAGGGCGTTTCCAGAAAAATCCTCGACCCTCACTGCCCGGGCCGAGTCTTTGGAGCAAACAAGGTTGGGTATCACTGGGCAGGACCTGGTCAATTCAGAGGAGGGCGGAGGGAGAAAGCAGGAAGGTAAGAGGAGGGAGGAAGCAGGAGATAAAGGAGGATGAGGTAGAGGAAGTAGGATTGAGGATGGACGAATGTTTCTGGCGGAACACGATGGAAGATGGAGAAGGCAGGGCTTCATTTGAATGCACCCGCATGTGTTTATAATTGCGCCTGACGGCCATGGCGTGACTAGTCAAAACAGGCAGCACCGTGCATGTGATGAGGATGCCGCGTGGGAGTGAGGAGTAGGAAGAGGAGGAGGAGGAGGAGGAGGAGGAGGAGGAGGAGGAGGAGGAGGAGGATGCGACGTCCCCACTTGGCGATATGGCTTACCCTTGGCCTGCAGGCGTCCACTTAGCAGCTCGGGCGCGGGTGACGAGTTGTCCCGTCCTCGAGACCCTGAGCTCCGACGCCGCGCTCTCTCTCTACAGCCATGGACCCCCCGAGACCAGAGCTGAGCCCCTTTCTTTCCAGAGCTTCGCGGAGCGAGCGGCCCGAGAGTGGCGACAAGCGGGCCGTCGCGGCAAGCGAGCGGCGCGGCGGTGAGGCGGCGGCGGCCACGAGTATGGCCCGCGGCCGCCCGGCGCCTACGCAGCGCCGGGCGCCGGGAGCCCCTGCGCCGCTGGGGGGAGGGGGGGGAAGAGCGGGGAGGGGGGGAGGGAGTCAGAGAGGGGGGAACAGGGAGAGAGGGGGAGGCAGGGAGGGACCTCCTCCTCATCCTCCTCCTCATCCTCCTCCTCCTCCTCCTGCTCATCCCTCCTCCTGCTCATCCCTCCTCCTGCTCCTCCTCCTCCTCCTGCTCATCCCTCCTCCTGCCACTCTCGCAGTGGCATCGGGCGTCCCCCCCTTCCGCCCTCGCGCGCTCGCGGCCCCCAGGAGGAGGAGGAGGAGGAGGAGGAGGAGGAGGAGGAGGAGGAGGAGGAGGAGGAGGAGGGGAGGGAGGGGGAGGGGGAGGGGGAGGGGGAGGGGAGGGGGAGGGTAGGGGGAGGGGGGGAGGGGAGGGGGAGGGGGAGGAGGAGGAGGAGAAGAGGAGAGAGGAGGAGGAGGAGGACGAGGACGAGGTGGAGGAGGAGGAGGAGGAGGAGGAGGAGGAGGAGGAGGAGCGGCCGGGCCGCTCATGGGATGTGGAAGCAGATGCCGAGGACGGCGTACCTTTGCGCGTAACACTGTACACGGCGTGCCTTGTCCGTGGCGCTGTAGAGATAGCACGCCATATTAAGTCGGGCCTGTCCCTCTACAGGGGGAACATTCAAGAATAGTAAACAAATAGTCTGGGGACGATGTTTTGACTAGTTTGGGCCGTTTGGGAGTACTTTTGGGGGGTATTCTTTATGTTTCGTCCAAAATCCCCCTGTAGGGGGACACGCCCGACCTAATAGTAAGTATAACGTGGTGTCAGTGTCGGAGTTCCAACGCGCGGTTTGGTACTAGTGCGTCGTACTTTCCGGTAATCGTCCTCAGGTACTGCCACGCGTACGCTTAGCGCGTCCGTATGGGATCTTCTGCAGGGCGCGTTTGTTGTGCGCACCCGTTGGGGAGGGGGGGCCGTTGGTCTTGTAATCGTCCTGTGTAATAGGGTTGTCCTGGCAGTTTAGCAAGACCACGAAGTACTTGGTGCCACCTGTAATACCAGGTTGGCAATGTAGTTTGACTTCGTTTGCCAAGTCGTACTCCTTGTAGTTCATGTAGTACAGTTTCATATGGGTGTACTGGTCTGCTTCCATATCGTAGTGTTGGCTATACATATATATATATACTCATACGCACCTCTCCGAGGGAGTAGAGCTCAGAGGCGATTAATGCGCACGTCGTCCGCGATTTGTCTGGCCGTTTCGCTCGGGACATCCTCGAAATTCTGAAAATCGGTGGCACCCCTCACGCAGATCGTGACGTCAGGGTCCAAACACACATGGGAATTTCAACAATTTAACATAAAACCTTCAAAAACACATGGTAAGTTCAATAAGTTTGACCCCGATTCTCAGAGAATGGCGGTTTCGCCTGAGACATCCTCCCAAAATCGAGCCCCAGACCCCTCCTCGGAGCCTCTTGGGGGCCTCCTGGAACCTCCTGGGGCCTCCTGGGGCTTTCTGGACCTTCTGGTACCCCAGACCCCGCCTCGGAGCCTCCTGGAGTTCTCCTGGGCCTGCTGAGGCCGCCTGGGGCCTCCTGGGGCCTCCTGGAGCTTCAGAACTACATGCACACACAGAGACACAAATCACACCCAACACATCACACGCTAGACAAACATACACACACACACACACAACACCGACAACACACAAAAAGCACACACCACACAAAGCACACATCACACACACACACACACACAACACTCACAATCCTGGGGCCTCCTGGAGCCTCTTCTGGTATCCAAGTCGGGCCTCCTGAGGCTTCCTGTGGGGCCCTGGTACACACATCGCAAGGTGTGGCAACCCCACTTGCGCTCGAGTGCGACTTCGCTGTTGCATGTCACTCCTGCTTCAAACGCCCCTTCAGCTTGTTGTATGAGCCTGGGCACACACGTGCCACTTGTGTGTATATATATATAGGCAGCGATCGCCTGTTTGAACCCGCCGATAGGGGAGGGCCTGTGTCAATCTCGGAAAGACCGTGCTCTCCCGCTGCTGGCGGAAAACCGCGGGGAGTCACTGGGGGTGCCCAACTCGCCCCCCCCCCAGAAAAACCTGGGGTGGGTCACTAGCGGTTCGAACCCGCCCCCCCTCCCAATTCCATCATGAAATGGGGGGCGGGTCACTACTTGTTCGAACCCCCCTCCCTTTTGCCGCGGGCAAACGATTCCCGCTCATCGGGATAGTGGGACAGTGTTGGGGACGGTGGTGGTGGGGACAGTGGTGTGGGGACAGTGGAACGGTGGTAGGGACAGTGGGGACAGGGGGACAGTGGTGGGGACGGCGGTGGTGGTGACAGTGGCGAGGGGACAGTGGGACAGTGGCGGGGACAATAGGGGCAGTTGAACTGTGGTGGGGACGGTGGTGGTGTGGGGACAGTGGTGGGGGCGGTGGTGAGGACGGTGGTGGGGCAACGGGACACTGGTACAGTGGGGATAGTGATGGGGACAGTGGGACAGTGGTGGGGACAGCGGGGACAGTGGGGATAGTGGGACAGCACAGTGTGGGAACAGTGGGGACAGTGGGGACAGTGGTGGGGACAGTGGGACAGTGGAGGGGACAGCGGGGACGATGGGGAGAGTGGGACCGTGGTGGGGACACTGGTGGGGACAGTGGGGACAGTGAGACACTGGCGAGGGCACTGGTGGGGACAGTGGGGACAGTGGTGGGAACAGTGGGGACAGTGGGACAGTTGTGGGGACAGTGGGACAGTGGTGGGGACGGTGGTGGAAGGGACAGTGGTGTGGGGACAGTGGGACAGTGGCAGGGGCAGTGGGGACAGTGGGACAGTAATGGACATGGTGGTGCTGGGGACAGTGGTGAGGGCGGTGGTGAGGACGGTGGTGGGACAATGGGACAATGGCACAGTGGGGACAGTGTTGGGAACAGTGGGGCAGCGCCGTGGGACAGCGAGGGGGACAGTGGGGACAGTGGGACAGTGGTGGGGACAGTGGGGACAGTGGGACAGTGGAGGGGACAGCGGGGACGATGCGGAGAGTGGGACCGTGGTGGGGACAGCGGTGGGGACAGTGGGGACAGTGACACTGGCGGGGGCACTGGCGGGGACAGTGGGGACAGTGGCGGGAACAGTGGGACAGCGCCGTGGGACAGCGAGGGGGGCAGTGGGGACAGTGGGACAGTGGGACAGTGGTGGGGACAGTGGGGACAGTGGGACAGTGGAGGGGACAGCGGGGACGATGGGAAGAGTGGGACCGTGGTGGGGACACTGGTGGGGACAGTGGGGACAGTGCGACACTGGCGGGGGCACTGGCGGGGACAGTGGGGACAGTGGTGGGAACAGTGGGGACAGTGGGACAGTGGTGGGGACATTGGGACAGTGGTGGGGAAGGTGGTGGTGGGGACAGTGGTGTGGGGACAGTGGGACAGTGGTGGGGACAGTGGGACAGTGGTGGGGACGGTGGTGCTGGGGACAGCGGTGAGGGCGGTGGTGAGGACGGTGGTGGGACAGCGGGACAGTGGTACAGTGGGGCAGTGGTGGGAACAGTGGGTACAGTGGTGGGAACAGTGGGACAGCGGCGGGGACAGTGGGGTGGTGGGGACACTGGGGATAGTGGGACAGTGGTGGGGACAGTGGGGAGAGTGTGACCGTGGTGGGAACAGTGGCGGGGACAGTGGGGACAGAGGGACAGTGGAGGGGGCAGTGGGGGGGACAGTGGGGACAGTGGTGGGAACACTGGGACAGTGGTGGTGGGGACGGTGGTGCTGGGGACAGCGGTGAGGGTGGTGTTGAGGACGGTGGTGGGGACCCGGGAGTCGTTTGCCGGCGGTGAGTGGGGGGGTTCAAACCGGTAGTCACCCTCTTTTTGGTTTTCTGGAGGGGTGGGGGGGGTGTTCGAACCGGTAGTGACCCCCCCCTGGAGTTCTGGAGGGGGGGTCGGGTTGCCGGGAGAAGGGGGGGGGTTCGAGCAGGGGGGGGGAGATTTCCGGATGGGGGGGGACCCTGGTTTCTGGAGGAAGAGGGGGATAATTTTCAACAGTAAAGCGGCGGTGGATCACGCTCTCTCCAATCTCGAGTTCGACGCTTTCCCATTACATGTATTAGTGGAACCGCACTGCCGCGTCGTATGGATGGCCTTACACCAGGATGTAGTGTGATCTAGTTTATAGTTGCATGACTGTAGCCATATCGGAGGGGCTGTAGTGGATTCTGCCCACAGTGTGGTCCTTCGGGGCGGTTACAGGTAGTAATACCTCAAGTACAATGCATGCAGCATTGTACACGTTGATACGCTTGTCGTAGAGACCTTTGAAGCGGTGGCGCAACACCGATAAGATAATCGCTGGTCTTGAAATCTTGTATGGCTTCACCTCCATGTGTACCGTCTGTAACAAGCTGTGTCCGTTCGTTCTGGTACGATTGATCGCGTAACCAGATGCCAGCTTCGGCTAGCAGGTGTTTTCCAGGAGTATCGCCGAGGCGATGGTAGCTCGCACCGGACATGTTGTATGTAGCATGTATACGCGTAGGTTGTAGTTGAGCCGATATCTTCATGGAGGGGCTACTGAAGCTTTGGATGTCCGGATGCAAACTCCTGATACATGAATAAGCATTGGCCAAATTGCAGATAGACCCTCGACGTTAGGTTTTGACCGCACGAGTGTGATCCAGCATGTTCAGAGGCCTCTGTATCGGCAGTTACTTCCAGAGAACAAATTCGCTGGGGTCCGAAAGTTTGCGTTCGAGTTTTCAGGGACAAAGTTGTTAGAGGCGTTGCATGTAAAAGGTCTCCGTAGTGATGACAGTTGGCCAAGCTCACAGAAGATGAGTACCGTCTTGGCCAAGCTAACAACATAGTTGACAACCATGCCAAGTTTGCCATGCCTGGCCATCCCACAGCTGATCCAGGTTTCTTGGCAGCAATCGAACTTGCTCAGACGAGGCGGCTGCTTTTGTCCGCGTCGCTTGTGCTACCTTGCTTCCTTTCAAGAATGAGATGATCTGGACTCGTGGAGCTGTCCAGTCTAGGATTCAGTCTAGACGTCAGGTGAATTGGCACCAGTGGCAGCGCGCAGAGTTTGAAACGCGACGCGCGCAGTGTTTGATTGCGTCAGAGTCAGAGCGCCGCCCACAGGACGGGCGCCAAGGCACTCCACATTATTTCAAGCAGTTGCTCGAAGATCCCAAAGGTCATGCTCTCGTCGCCGTGTCGGACCAGGCTCTTAAAAGGGCTGATGGGGCCCGTGACGGGCCTGTCTGGCCCTAGGGTGCGGCTGAGTTTAGAGAGCAACAGTTCCTCTGTCTCAAGTGCGGGGGAAGGTCGCGAGGGAGGACTGTGAGGTTTGGCAAGTTGCGCCAGCAAGCGAACAAGAAAGGGTCTGAGGTTTTGATGTTTTTTTCGTCGCGGTTTAGGGCGGAACCCCAGGATGAGAGAGTTGATCGATAAAGCTCTCCCTGTTTTTCGGCTCGATGCGACTTTGGCCAGTGTTCGCTCCACCTCGTATGTGTCCACGGTTCCCCGAAGGTTTTGTAGTGACCAGAGAGCCCCCCAGCATGAGCAGAGGATGGCAGCGCTTGTAGCCAGGATCGAGGCTAAAGAGATGCGAATTCGATTTCGATGGCATAACCGCTTCAATGCCAAGCTTTTGGTGCGCTGACCCTCCGACCTCTCCGAGGCACTGTTTATCTATCCTCAATGTACTCGCCGCGCTCGTCGCTGATGCGCATTTAGTACTGCACTTCGTACACATCGTTGACCCCCCCTCCGTATCTTCCACAGCCTCCTCCTCCTCCTCCTCCTCCTCCTCCTCCTCCTCCCTCTCTTACTTTTCCTCCACCTCCTCATCCCCAGGGTACGGGCGCTCCTCCTCCTCCTCACCCCCCTCCTCCTTCATGTTCCTCCTCCCATCATCCTCCGTTTCCCTTCGTCTCCCTCTTTTCCTCTTATCCTCATTCCCTCCTCCTCGTCCTCCTCCTCCTCTTCCTCCTCCTCCTCCTCCTCCTCCTCCTCCTCTTCCTCCTCCTCCTCCTCCTCCTCCGCCTCCGCCTCCGCCTCCGCCTCATCCTCCCTCCCCCTGACGCAGCGGCCGGGGGAAGGGACCCGCGGCTGCAGCAGGGTCGGATCGACCAGGGGGGCGCCCCGTGGCTTTCGGGAGGGCCCGCAGGGAGGGAGCGGCCGTGGCGGGTGGATCCATACGCGCGATGCCCCCTGCTCTTTCCCCCCCCCCCCCCCCTCCTCGACCCTCTTCCCTCTGCCCATGGTCGGGCCCCGAGGCCCGCAAGCATCCAGGAGGAGAGAAATCCCACAGACACAATTCGTCGTCGATACCCCAGAAAATATGGGAAAATATGGGAAGTGGGGGGGAAGACAAAAACCCAGAAAATATGGGAAAATACGGGGATATTTCTATTTGTGTGTATCTATTTGTGTGTCCTGGGGCCCCTTCAAAGATGGTTTCCTGGGCTGCGGATTGAAACAATCCAAGACATGCGACGTCCTGATTTTTTCAGGACGGCGTCCCTGGAAGTCCCGACCCTTTCCCCGGGACCGGCTTTTCGTCCCGAGTCGTTTTCTGACAGTCCCGAGGCCCGGCGAGGGCCCCCCGGGGCCGAACATAGCGAAAAACCTCCCTTCGTGATTTTTTTCACGACGCGATCGTGTCTGGGTCCAGGAAGCTGGGCACGCACGACGCGGCTGGCCTGGGCGAGACCTGGCTGCGCACGTGACCCGGAGGACTCTCCAGCGCCCCACTGGCAAACGGCCGCACGCGCCAGACCCCCGACGTAATGATTTTTTCATTACGTCGACCCCCAGAGGTCTGGACCCTTTCCCCATGACCGGCTTTGCATCCTGAGTCGTTTTTTGACGCTCCCGAGGCCCGATGAGGGCCCCCGAAGGCCGAAAATGAAGGAAAATGGTTTGAGCATTTTTTGGGCCATTTGGGAGTATTTTTTTTATATCTTTAACTTGTCCCCGAAAATCCCCCTGTAGGGGGACAGGCCCGACTGGACCCTAGGTTTGGACCCCTCCCCCGGGGGGCGGTGTTTCATCCTGGGTCGTTCGTTGACGGCCCCGCGGCCCGGCGAGGGCCCCCGAGGGCCGAAAGCGGCAAAAAAAACAAAACAAAAAACCGCCCGGCGTGGTTTGCCCACGACGCGGAGGTGGGGGCGGTTTCCTGGCACCCCCTTCCCTGCCCTGTTCCCCCCTCCCCGCCCGAGCCCCGCGCACACCGCAGGAGCCACGACAGACACCAGGGCCCCGTGCCGACGCACAGGAGCTCCCCGGCGGCCCCCCTGGGCGGGCATAAGAGCTCCAAAGGCGGGCCTGTTGGCCGCCTGCTCGGGAGCGGAGACGAGGAGGAGGGCGAGGGAAGAGGAAGAGGAAGAGGAAGAGGAGGAGGAGGAGGAGGAAGAGGAGGAGGAGGAGGAGGAGGAGGAGGAGGAGGACCAGTGAACATCCAAAAGCCACCAACGATGTTGGAAGAAACCCTCCCTCCAGGTTCCCTCTTCATGTGCCCCTACAACGGTTCAGTTCCACTGAGAGAGCTGCCCCGTTGGAGGACATCCGTTTGAAGACCCTGAATCATGCTAAGACAGTGTTCCCAGGAGTCCAACGCCACGGATCAACCTGACTGTTGCGTCTCGACGATCCTGAATCGCACCAGAACGCCATTCTGGAGATTCCTACACCGCGATTCAACGTAACTGTTGCACCATCATAATTTTGAATCCGTCCGAAGCACTATGTCTGGTACGTTGATCATGGGATTCCGTGAAAGTTTTGCAAATGTTTGAAACGAATGCGCGGCGCTAAGGCGAGAGCCACATGTTGAAAAGGAGCGCCTTCAATCCGTGAAGCTTTGGCAAATGTTTTAAACGAGTGTGCGCGGCGCTAAGACGAGAGCCACATTTTGAAAAGGAACCGCCTTCAATCCGTGAAACTCTTGCAAACGTTTGAAACGTGTGTGCGCGGTGCCAAGGCGAGAGCCACACGTTGAAAACCACCAGCCCTCAATTCGTGAAGCTCTTGCAAATCTAGAACGAATGTGCGCGGCGCTAAGGCGAGAGCCACATGTTGAACCCCCCCCGCCATCAATCCGTGAAGCTCTCGCACATGCTAAAAACGAGTGTGCGCGGCGCTAAGGTGAAAGCCACATCTTGGAAACGACCCGCCCTCCATCTGGGAAGCTGATGCTATGTGTTAAGCCCAGGGCTATACATGGAGAGGAAGTCTCAAGCGAAACGACCAGGCCGCTAAAAAAAATGGCTTCGGGTGCGACAGGGACAAGTTAGGTATAAGGACAAGGAATGGAGGAGGAGGAGGAGGAGGAGGAGGAAGAAGAAGAGGAGGAGGAGGAGAAGATGGAAAAGGAGGAGGGGGAGGAGGTGGAGGCGGAGTCGCACACGCGCCTAAGTCGGAGGGCGCGCCGCTGGATGACCCCAATGGAGGGGGGGGGTGGGACCCTTCCCCCCTTTTCCCCGATCCGTGTCGTCGGGCACCCCCCCCCCTCGCCCCCTTTCCCGATCCGTCGTCGGGGACCCCCCCCCCCCTCGCCCCCTTTCCCGATCCGTCGTCGGGGACCCCCCCCCTGTTCCCCTTTCCCGATCCGTCGTCGGGGAAACCCCCACCCACTTCCCCCCTTTCAAAAGGGCGGGGGGAAGGTTCCGACCCCCCCCCTCCTCCTCTCCTTTGGCCGCCACATTCGACCCCCCCCCTTCCCCCTTTCGCCACGGCGCCCCCGGTCTCCGGAACCCGATCCCTACCACCCCTAACACTAATCCTCACCCTTGCCCTAACCCCGAACCCTAATCCCAAACCCAAGCCCTAGCCCCAAACAGCATTCACTACTCATTACGCACTACACACTACCCACAATTCACTACTCGATATGCACTATTCATTACTCACGACTCACTACTCACTACCCACGACTCACTACCCACGACGCACTACTCACTACTCCCTACTCCCTACCCCCTACGCACTACTCTCTACAAAGTACTCACTACCCACTATTCAAGACTCACGACTCACTACCCACTACTCGCTAATCACAAATCATTACTCACTAACCACTATCCACTACTCACTACTCACAATTCACTACTCATTGCCCACAACTGACTACTCACTATCCATTACTCGCTACAAGCTATTCCCTGCACAGTACTCACTACACAGTACTCACTACTCGCTACCCAATACGCACTATTCACTACCCGCTACTCACTACTTACTACGCTCTCACTACTCACTACTTCCTATTCCATACTCGCTACTCCCAAGTCACTGCTCACTACTCACTACCCAGTATTCAATACTCACTATTCATTAAACACTTCTCACTGCCCACTACTCACTAAGCACTACTCACTACCGACTATCCATTACTTACTATTGAGAACCCACAATTCACTACTCACTACGCACTGCCCAGAACCCAGCATTCACTGTCCGCTACTCGCTACACCATAGGACATATTCACTACGCACTACTCGCTACTCACTACTCCCTACTCACTAGTCACTTGTCGCAAGTCGCTACTCACTACTCACGACTCACTACTCACTCATTTCTAATCGCTACTCCCTACTCACTACCGAACACTCAATACCCACTTCTCCTATCTCACTACTCACCACTCACTACTCCCTACGCACTATTCACAAATCACTACTCACTACTCGCTACTCCCTGCTCGCTAAGCACTACTCACTACTGACTCCTGACTACTCACTACCCACTACTCACAACGCCCTACTCACTACTCGCTACTCCCTACTCGCTACTCACCCCTCACTACTTTCTACTCTCCGCGCACTACTCACTACTCACTACCCACTCCTCGCTATTTGCTATTGTTTAGTCCCTCATCCCTTCTCTTTTTTTATTCCTCAATATGCAATACACACTACTCACTCCTCACTACTCACCATTCACAGTTCCTTACTCACTACTTCCTTCCCACTACTCACTACTCACTAATCTCTACGCGCTACTCACTACTACCACTACTCACTACTCACCACCCACGACTCACTGCGCACTCCTCACTATCACATACCCACCACTAACCAATCGCTACTCAAAGCACTCTACTCTCTACCCACTACCCGAGAGGCTCCCTCCCCAGCCCCGTGTTCGGCGCAAAGGGAGGGCGGGGGGGGGGGGTCGAACCCCCCCCTGGGGGGGTTCGAGCCCCCCCCCCTTTCCAGCGCCAAGGGGGGGAGCGGGGGAGGGGGGTGGGTCGAAAATCTCACCCCCCCTTTGGAGGGTGGGAGGGGGGGCGGGTTCTGCGAGCACCCCCCCCCTTTAGTGTATTCAGGGCTATCCACTGGCGCGAGTTCCCTAAGTCGGTTGTTGTTCGTACCATATTGATGCCAGAGCCGCGCAGCTCAAGTCCAATCAGCGTGAAAAGGTGAAGGCGTAGGAAGAGGAGGTAGGAGAGGGGCGAGAGGAGGAGGGGGAGGAGCAGCACCAGCAGCCGCAAGAGTGGGAGCCAAGCCAGCCAGTTCGAACGAGTCAGCAGGCACTGCTTACTCCCACCTCCCCCCCAGGACAGAAAAAAACATGGCTGGCACACCTGGATGTTGGCATGGCGCGCGCTCCCACCCAGCGAGCGAGAGGCGCTCGCGCGCGGTCCCGCTTCTGACGGCTCGGCGAGCGAAGCAAGACGGGCGGTGCACAGTCGGCCGGACGTTCCCCGCTGGAGCTGCACCGGCCCCATTGACGGCGCCCGCCTGGGATTGCCCGTTACCGGGGTTCCGGAGCGCTGTGTTTTCTTGCTGTCCCAGGGAGGAGGAGACGGACACGGAGGCGGGGGGGGTCCCTGGCTGCTCGCGTACCATGCATCATCGTTCGTATTGTTCCTTCGCTTCTCCATGCTCTTACGCCTGGCGCACATCCGCTTCGACGCATTTTCGAGCATTACGTACAAGAGTCTTCCATCCTTCACTTCCCCTTATCCTTCTCGGTTGTCGTTTTTTCCACGCCATCACTCTCGCGTCGACGGCGTCGATCCCCGATCCACCCTGATGTCAGCGGCGCCGACGACAACGACGCAGTCGACGTTGCCGCCGGCGTGGTCTTCCTTTCTCGCTCTCTGTCGGCGTCGTCTCCGTCGCCGTCCCTCTAGACAGTCAGTCGGCTGATTGTTTTTTTGTATATATATATATAATATATATATATATATATATATATATATATATATATATATATATAAAAAAAAAAAAAAAAAAAAAAAAAAAAAAAAAAAAAAAAAAAAAAAAAAAAAAAAAAAAAAAAAAAAAAAAAAAAAAAAACGGGGGCAAATTCCGTCGTCGTCCCTCGTCCTCGTCCATCGTCGTCGCCCTTCCTCGCCATCTCTAGTCCTCTGCCCCTCCAGGATGCAAGAGCCGCCCGCCATGGGCACGGCAGCGTCGTGGCAGCCGCTGCCACCGCCGCCGATGCCCCCGCCGCAGCAGCGCTGGCAGCAGGAGCCACATTTGGGGGGGGGTGGCAGCAGGGCCCTCTGCCGCCTTCTCGGACTCTCTGCGACTGACTCTCTCTCTCTCTCTTTCTCTTTTTTCTCCCTCTCTCTCTCTCTCTCTTTCTTTCTCTCTCTCTCTCTCTCTCTCTCTTTTTCTCTCCTCTCTCTCTCTCTATCTCTTCCTCTCTCTATCTCGATCCCTATACTATATATATATATATATATATATATATATATATATAGCGCTTATTTCATCGCTTCGCTCATTCCGCCGGCCCGTATTGTGCCCTCGCTGGCGTTTGGGTTTTGGGGGGCATTTTGGGGTCCTCATTGGGGGTTTCTTGGGGGCCTCTTGGGTTTCTGTTGAAGCCTCTTTGGGGTTTCTTGGAGCTCCGTTGGGAGCATTGGGGAGCATCTTGGGGCTTCTGGGAGCCGCTTGGGAGCCGTTTGGGAGCTTCTTGGGGGCCTCGTGAGGGCCTGTTTTGGGGGGCTCCTGGGGCTTGAAAGGGGCCTCTTGGCGCCTCCTGGGAACGTCTCAGGGCCGAGGGCTCGACATGTTGCTTCGTGTTCCCCCTTCTGGGGCTTCTCATAGAGCGTTCTTGGGGCCCTCTTGGGGCCCTCTTGGGCCCTCTTGGGCCGTCTTGGAGGCCTCTTGGGCCGTCTTGGAAATCTCTTGGGCCGTCTTGGGGCCCTGTCGGAGGCCTCTCGGTCCTCTTAGGGCGATCTTGGGGGCGTCGCGATGCCGAAAAGGTGGAAACGCCTAAATCTCCCCAAAACCTAAGGAAAAACTATGAATGTTGCTTCTTGGGGCCCTCTTGGGAGTCTCTTGGGGCTCCTTGGCGGCGTATCGGGGGCCCCCAGGGCCTCTTGGGGGGCTCTTGGACCTCTTAGGGCGGGAGGGGGGTAGTCGATTGCGGCTCCTCCCTCGGAGGCCACGATCCTCGTGAGGGGTATCGAAAAATGGCCCTCCCCTGGATTTCTATGGTGGCTCCTCCCGGGACCTTGCCGGGGTGTTTTTCGTCCGGGGACCCCAGGGGCCGCCCCGCGCGTGCGAACTAGAAATATTGTGAACCAGTTACCGGAGATCTTAGCACGCCTCTGGCCCGTTGGGCAGGCGAATTATGTGACCTTTGTTTCTCTACAGTAGCCCCTCGCTCGCTCTCTCTCTCTCTCTCTCTCTATCCCTCTCTCTCTCTTTCTCTTTCTCTCGCTCTCTACATATCCATCTATACACGCAAATGGGTTATCACCAGCTCACTGCCACAGTGGTGCTCGGGCATGCTTGTACAACACCATTCTTACAAGCTGCCATCAACGCGTCGCAGGTGATTGGCTGATCTTGTGCGCCCAATGGGGGTTGATTCACCTTTCGAAGATACTACCAACGTTATTGCTTACATCCCCATGCTCGATTGGTGTCATATTGGGCACTCACGTGCCACTTGGTTTCACAGACGCACACACAAATATCGAGAGGTACAAATCAGTTTGTGTATAGTTATATGTATGGCTGCATTGGCGCTTCGCGACATGCACCTTGGTCCTTGAAGTGTGGCATGCAGGCGGAATGGCAGGAAGGTAAAATTGACAACTTGGCGATAGCTCCTGGTTGCCTTTTACGTCATCGTCGATATGATAATGTTGTTTTCGCTCCCTCATGTTGCCTTCCCCTCTTCCTCATTATCGCCCTAGCCTCCGAATTCTTACACATCCTCCTCAGCTCGTTATGCAGAGGTTCCTCCATGGCGAGCCTCATGGGGGCCTCACGAAAGTTTTGAATGGCTTCTTGGGGCCTGGAGGTCTCATGGGCGCATTCTCGGGGCCTCTGGGGGCTTCCTCGGGCCACCCTTCCAACCGCGATCTCCCTGAACGACCAGGTCACGATTGGGAATGCTTCGAAGGGCATCTTGGGGCCATCTTAGGCCGTCATGGGGCTCTCTTCTGGCCGTCTTGGAACTCTGTTGGGCCGTCCGTCTTGGGGCTCTCTTGGACTGTCTGGGAACCTTTTCGGAAAGTTTTGGGGCGATGTTCGGGCCTCCTGGGCGGTCTCGGACGCCCGGAGGACCGAAGAATAGAGCACTTCCAAAATCATGCGAAAACCTGTGGGAAAGACAATGCTTTTTCTATGTCGAAGGGGTCTTCTGTAAATCGTCTTCGGGCGTCTGGTGGGTGCCTGGGGCCTCGTTGGGGCCTCGTTGGGCGCCGCTCGGCCGCCTTTCGTGGCCGAAGGCGGGCCCGCTGCCAAAGGCCCAGCAGGGGCGTCCGGGAGCTCTGGGAAGGCCCCGGGGGCCGTCTGCAGGGGGGGGCGTGCAGGGTGGCCACGGAGCCAGGGTCCGGTCCTGGGCCTGGGGGAAGGGGGGGCGATTTCGACACACACACACACACACACACGTATTGAAGAACAAGAAATGGAATAGGCATAGCGGCGTGTGTGTATATATGTGTGTATAAGCAAGCATACATGCATACATGTATGCACACATACACATACCCATACACATAATCCATCATGTGAATTTGCACATGCACATACACATACACATACGCACATCCATACATACAGGCATGCATGCATGCATATATACATACATACATGCGTACATACGCACATTTATACATATATATGCATGCAAACACACATACATATATACATGCATGCATGCATACATACATACATACAGACAGACAGACATACAGACAACAAAACATACATACACACCTTCCTACTTACCTACATACATACATACATACATAAATGTATGCATCGCCATATACAAGCACCTGCATGTATACATGCATGTATACATATATACATACATACATGCATACATACATACATACATACCTACATACATACATGCATACGTACGTACATACATACATACATAAATGCATACATACATCCATGCATACTTACATGCATCCATGCATACATGCATGCATGCATACATAGTTACATACATGTCTACATACCTACATACATACGCACCTGAATTGCATAGACATGCAAGTATACCTACATGCATGTATGTATGTCTATATCTATATCTGTATATATACATGTACATGCACATGTACATATGCATACACCTGCACCTACATACACATACACCGACACATACACATACATGTACACATGCACAGACTCATGCGCACACACACACACACACACACAGACATACACACACACACCTACACCTACAGACGCCTACACATACACATACACACATACACACATATACATCTGTCGGGGAGCAGCCCGGGGGGCGGGCCCGGTCCGCATGGGGCTCGGGGGGGCCCAGCGGCTCCCGGACGTGGCCCCGAGAGTTCCCGGACGGCTCTAGAGACTGCCAGGACCGGCTCGAGACCGCACTAGACGCCCCGCGAGCGTTCCAAGATGCGCCAAGAGGTTTGAAGAAGAGCCACAGGCCTTCCAGGATTCAGGGGAGGGCTCCATGATGCCCCCGAAAAGCCCCAAGAAGTAACAATCGCACCCCTTGGGAAAACATACCTTTTGAGCATCTACGACTTTCGGGTTTCCAAAAAGTCCAGGACAGCCCAAGAGGCCGCAAAACCGTCCAAAGACGGCCCAAGGGACCCCAAGAAAGTCCGAAGACGGCCCAAGATCGCCCCAAGACGGCCCAGGAGCCGCCCAAGGCGGCCAAAGGCAGGCCCAAGGATCCCCAGGAGGAGCCCAGATGGCTCCAGGACGGCCTTCGACATCCCAAGATGGCCCGAGTTCGCCTCCGAAGCGCACAAAAATACTTTAAGACGCCCCCCAAACTGGCCCAAGACCGTCCAACATTGCGTCTGGGGCGCTCTGGCGCCGCCCGAGACGCCCCCAGACGGCTTGAAGACGCGCCAAGATGCCCCCAAGAGGCCTCCAAGGAGCACCCCCCAGGGGCCCAGGAGGCAAAAATCACCCCATCCCCTGCGGAAAACAACAATTTTCAGCATGAACGCTTTTCTAGTCTTGACAGCTCCTAAGACGGTCCAGGAGGCGCCCAAGGAGGCTCCAAGACCGATTACGAGGCCCCCAACCCAAGAGGGCTGCAAGACGGCCCAAGGGAGCCCAAAGAGGGCCTCAAGAGGGTGCCACAACGGGTCGTGGGGCAATATCTTGGGGGGTGCGGCTCCCAACATGCCCCCAACACCTTCCGGGAAGCTTCCAGGACGCTTCCAAGAGGCCCCTAGAGGCGCCCGAAAGACCCCGAATACGCCCCCATGATTCCCCAAGAGACCCCCAAGAGGCCCCAAGATGCGTCCTAAATGCTTCTGTCCTCCTCCTCCACCTCCTCCTCCACCTCATCTTCCTCCTCCTCTCAATCCGTAGCCATTTTGGCTCAAGCCATTTTGGCCCAAGCCGTGTTGTAGCTTCCTCGCTCTCGTGACTGCGGCTGTGAGCCGCCCGTGATCCCGAGCCCCCTTCAGGCAGCTGTCTGCCGATGTCCTTCCAGTTCTTCACCAGCAGCCAGAACGGCAGCATCACCGCGCCCGGCCCCGGGGGCGACCGCACCAGGCCGCGCGGGGAGGAGAAGCAGACAAGCCTGCCCGTGACTATTCGCTCGATCGAGAACGCTCTGCAGGCGGAGGGCGAGGAGGTAAGCTTCTTCGGATCGCAGCCGGAGCTGTTGATCCTAGTCGCCGCCATCGAGTCCGTCCAGAAGCACCCCAACAACCTGGACCTTGTAGTAAGCGACGCCACCGGCAGGCTCCGCGTCCGACAGTTCTTGTCCGGGGACGCCGACGACGCGCAGCACGAGGGCATCCAGGCGGGGCGGTACGTCCACATGTTCGGCCAGGTGCGCGCGAAGCCGGAGCCGCACTTCGTCGCCCAGGGCATCCGGCCCGTGAAGACTGCGGACGAGGTCAGCTACCACACCATCGAGGCCGCCCACGCCGCCCTGAAGCTGCAGCGCGGCCCGGCGGCGGCGGCGGCGCCCGCGCAGGCCACGCCGGTGAAGGCTCAGGCGCTGCCGGGCACGGAGCTGCAGGCGCCCGCGCTCACGCCGCCGAAGGAGCCGGTGGCCGCGGGCGTGCCCGCGGCCAGCTTGCTGAGCGCGGCCGCGGCGGGCCCGCGGGCGGCAGTGGCGCACGTGCTTTCGGGCGCGGCGCTGCGCGCGGCGATGATGGAGTTTCTGACGAAAGCGGCAGGGTCAAACGGCGATGTGGGGTGCTCGAGGAGCGAAGTGTGCGTGCACTTCAAGACCTCCTCGGAGGTGGAGGTGAACGGGCTCCTCGCGGAAATGGTCGCCGATGGCGATGCCTTCACCACCATTGACGACAACCACTTCACCGTGGTCTGAGCGGATGGGGCTTCAGCTCAGGGAGCTCATCGTGCGTGGCTGAGGCTTGGGGAGTGCTAGTCGCGGGCCACGAGCCACGAGATGTCGGCCATGCGGGTGCTCCGCTTACCCTTTCTCGCAGAGCATCTTTCAATCTCATCTGTAGTCCTCGCTCTCCCCTGGCGCGGGCTGGGCCGTGTCGGCAGGGAGCTGCGGACCACACGCTTCTGTGTGTATGTGTGTGTGTGAGCGGGCGGCGGCCGGCGTCGCGGCTCACATCCAGTGTTGGCACTCTGGGGCGCGCTTCCTCCTCCTCCTCCGCCTCCTGTTTCACGCTTCTCCGCTGCGCATTGTGGCGACAGGCTCAGGAGGGTCAGGCTTGTTCTGCGTTGGAAAAAGTGTTCCCTAAATGCTTCCAGGAGGCTCCCAGGAGGCCTCCCAATAGGCCCCTAGACGCGTATGAGACTTCTCGCGTCTACATCCTGCACGGCGTTCCAAGAGAGGCTTTCAGAGGACCCCAACTCACGATCCATTTCAGGGCTTCAGGAAGCCACTGAGAAACACGCCGCGAGGCCCCGAGAGGCATCCAAGGCGCCCCGGCCTCACGATCCAGGTCATGGGTGTGCCGACGTGGGCGGGGCGGCGGGATGCGAACCTTGGCTCTGGGGCTGTCAGTGGGGCTCCCTGTGGCATAGGATCCGTGTGAGGAGACAGTCAACGTACACAGGGGGACGTGATGTTATGCGAGTACTCCTACTAGGGCCGCACGTCAAACTTCATCCCTCTGGGGCACGATCTGTGTGAAGGGTGTGCCGAGACGGGGGGGAGGGGCGCCATGCAAACGTTGCCCCTAGATCCGAAAGTGGAGCTCACGAGGGGGCACGATCCGTGTCAGGGCCGTGCAGAAATTGGTGGGAACGCTTTGTGAACCTGCCTTCATCTGGGGCCGTAGGTCTAGGCTCAATCGGCGTGATTGGTACCCTTCTGTGTCAAGTTCAAACAAGTTGTGAGTCACTATTTCAATTGAGCTGTGACCGAATCGCACCACCCAGTGAAAGCGAGTGGCGATGAGGAGGAGGAAGGAGGAGGAGGAGGAGGAGGAGGAAGGAGAAGAAGCAGTTCATTCAGAACCCTTTCGGGTATTTCCAAGTCTCTGCGCCCGACTCGCATGGGGAAGAGGGACAGTTCAGGGCACGGGGCAGACGGGGACGCCAGAACCCGATGAGAGCCACCAGACGTCCCGCCTATGCTACATTTATCTATAGATATACACACACGTGTATATACATACTGTGCTATTCATTATCAATGTACACCTAAGGGTCTGATATTTCATACGTATATTTATATACACACACATGTTTATGTAGTTGATATGTATGCGTGTGTGTATGTGAATGCTGGGGTACCAGGGGCCCGGGGCCTAGGCGGGGACACCCTCCGGGATTCTCCCCTCCTTTTGGCCCACGGCGTGATTGACCCCTCCCAGGGCCTTCTCTGCCTCCCCCCCACCCCTCAAACTTGCGTTGGAGGCCACCAACACAAAGCGGCCTGACAGGGCCGAAGGCGCCCGCACATTGTTTCAGGACAGCTCAAGAGGCCCCGAAGCTGTCCTAAGAAGGCTCTAATTTGCGCCCCGAGGGAAGCGAACATGTTTAGCAGATTCGCGTTTTGGGTGGCCCAGGAGGCCTCCAAGAGGGGCCCCAAGGCGGCCCAAGAGAGCCCCAAGACAATCCAAGAGGCCCCCAAGACGGCCCAAGAGGGCCCCAAGAGGAGTCCAAGAGTTGGAACTCCAGCTCACCTTTCGAGCCCTCCACCACGAGCGGGCCCCCGAGGCCGCAGTAGGGACCCAAGAGGCCCCCAGGAGCCCCAAGAGAGGCCCCAAGAGGCCACGAGAAGCTTCAAACTTGCTTCACGAGGCGCCCGAGAAGCATACCAAGAGATCCCGAATTACAGGTCTCGAAGGATCCTCTGGCTCAGAACTCAGGCTCAGTAGCGGTAGTGGCCGAAGGTCATAAATAAGCAAGCAATTGGTTTAGCGACGGACCCGTCCCCATGCAGTCATGTGTAGTGCAGGGCGCGGGTCTCTCTTTATACCTTGCGCGACGCGGGGCAATGCGGAAAGATGGCTGCTGCGGAGCACGCGTGTACGGGTGCGTTGAATTCCTTGTGGGGCACGATCCGCGTGAAGGGCCGCGCGAACACGCCCATTGAGGCCGCATGTGGACCTCCTCTGGGCACGCCCCGTGCGAGGCGTGCTCCAAGATGGGCGGGGGGACGCCATGCGAAGCTGCCCAGTGGTCCATTGGGCCATAGGTGGAGCTCCTTCTGGAGCATGATTCGCGTGACAGGTGTGCCGCTGTGGGCGGGGGGGGCGTTGTACGAACCGTGTCTCTGGGCGTTTCGGTGGTGCTCCGTGTGGGGACGCGCGCGAGGGGGTGGGCCGCGATGGCCTGGGCGGGGCCGCCGTGCGAACCCTGCCTCTTGGGCCGTAGGTGGAGATCCCTGTAGGCAACGGTCCGTGTGAGAGGTGTGCCGAACGAAATAGGCGAGAAGTTGGGATGCGAACCTCGTTTCTGGGGCCGTCCGTGGAGCTCTCTGCAGGCCACGACCCGTGCGAGAGGTGTGCCGAAGTGAGCGGGGCGACGCTATGAAGCTCATCCCTGGTGCCGCAAATGCATGTACTTGCGGAGCACGATCCGCGTGATGGGCGTGCCGTTATGCGAATATTGTCTCCAGGGACGTAGGTGGAGCTCGATGTGCAGCGCGATCCCTGTGAGGACGGGAGGATCCTAAGCCAAGCCTGTCTATGGGGCCGCAGGTGGAGCTCCCTGAGATGCACGATCCGTGCGACAATATATGTCCTCCGATGCCGAACACTTCAGACTACAACTAGAGCTTGCTGGAACCTAAGCGCGCGAAGCGCACGCGTGGTTCTAGTAGATCCATATTTTCAGAGAGAGAAAAAGAGAAATAGAGAGAGAGAGAAAGAGAATCAAAAAAAATGATACAAGGTGTTTGTGTGTGTGTTTATACACATAAATGTATAGATTGCGAGGAAACAAAAAAGAAAGAGAGAGAGAGAGAGGGAGGGACAACAAAAATAGCGAGAGATTCATGCGAGTTCCCTGACACCCACAAGTCGGCGGGGGGCCTCATCACGCCTCACCCTGTCCTCGTCACAGGCCGCCGCCGCCAGCGGGCCCCACCGACCTGGATGCAGACCCCCCTGGACCCGAGCCGGGTCCTCTCGGCGCTTGCGACCCTCCCCGAGGCAAGCCCCTGCGAGGTTGCGAGGGTCGACGGCGGCCGTGCACCCAGCACGAGAGCAGAAGGAGAGGCTGTGGCGCGGTTGCAGTTACAGCTGCCAGCGGTGGGACTAGAGAACAAGAGAGAGAGAGAGAGAGAGCGGGACAGCAGGACAAATGAGGAGGAGGAGGAGGAGGAGCAGGAGGAGGAGGAGGGGAGGAGGAGGAGGAGGAGGGGAGGAGGAGGAGGAGGAGGGGAGAATAGGAGGAGGAGGAGATGAGGAGGAGGAGAGGAGTAGAGGGAGAGGAGGAGAGCAGGAGGGGGAGGGGGAGGAGGAGGAGGAGGAGGAGGAGGAGGCAGGAGGAGGAGGAGGAGGAGGAGGAGGAGGAGGAGGAGGCGGAGAGGAGGAGGAGGAGGAGGATGGAGGAGGGGGGTGTGGAGGAGAAGCGGAGGCGGAGGCACCGAAGTCACCTGCAAGTCGAGGAGGCCGTCGCTCCCCCGCCCTGGCCGGAGACGTCGGGGCCGAGGGCCGCGGGCCAGAGGGGGCGGGCGCGAGAGACAAGCCGCCCCAGCCCCCGGCGCAGCAGCAGCAGTACGGCCAGGCCCGGGGCCAGCCGCCCCCGCCGCCCAGACCTCGAGCGACTCGGACCGGAAAGTGCGCCGCGGGTCTCTCGCGGGTCGCTTCGCGCCTCGGGAGGGGGGGGCCGCGTCCAGGGCCCCCCTGTGGCCGTGAAGCAGCTCCCCGCGGGAAGGCTGGTCCTGCGGGAGGGAGAGGGGGAGGAGGAGGAGGAGGGGGAGGAGGAGGAGGAGGAGGGAAAAGGAAGGGGAGGGGGAGGAGGAGGAGGAAGGAGGAAGGGGAAAGAGATGAGAGTTGAGGAGGAGGGTGAGGGCGGGGGTGCGGGGGGGGGGGGCTGAAGTAGGGAGGAGTAGGATGGAGGGGGAGGGGGAGGGGGAGGGGGAGGGGGAGGGGGAGGGGGAGGGACAGGGGTGGGGCGGCCCCGGTCGGCTCTTGAGGGGTCGTGGTCGTAGATTTCGTCGTCGGCTTCGCCGTCCTCGCCGTCGCTCGTCGCTGAGGTTCCTCGGGCCGGCTCGAGAGATCGACTCGTCGGAGGTCTGGACCCCCCCTTGCGCCCGCGCTTCCTCACGATTGTTACGTCCAGAGCTCCTCTTCCTACAGCTCCTCGTCCTTCACCCCGCGCCGCGTCGTCACGTCCTCCTCCTCCTCCTCCTCCTCCTCCTCCTCCTCCTCCTCCTCCTCCTCCTCCCTTCGCTTCGTTCTCCTCCCCTCCTCCTTGTCATCCTCCTGCTCAACCTCCTCTTCCAGGAGAGGGAGAAGGAAGGGCTCATCCTTGTCATCCTCCTACTCAACCTCCCCTTCCAGGAGAGGGAGAAGGAAGGGGAGGGGACAGGGATGGGAGGGGGACAGGGGACCCGGGACAGGGTGGAGGGGAGGGGGAGGGGAAAGGGTGGGACGCGGGACGTGGGGGGAGGAAGGGGGACTGCAGGCGACAGGGGGGATAGGGGAAGGAGAGGGGGCAGCATACGTGGATTGTCGCAGACACCCTCTTCCAAAGAATAGAGAATAACACCGCAGACACCCTCTTCCACTATGCTCTATTCACGCTCTCACTCTCCATATCCTCCTCTATCCTTGTACCCCTCTCCCTTCCTCCTTTCCCTCCGTGGCGTTACGTGCTCGCTTCCTCTCCGCTGTGCCGCGCACCCGCCATCATCACGCCTCCCCTCCTCTCCTTCCCGCCGCTGCTGCCGCGGCTGCTGTTGTTGCTGCCTCCCGCAGTGCTGCTGCTACTGCTGCTGCTACTGCTGCTGCTGCTGCTGCTGCTGCTGCTGCTGCCGCTGCTGCCGCTGCTGCAGCTGCTGTTGCTGTCTGCGCTGCCCGCATGCCCATGCGGCGCGTTCCAGATAGAGGTCTCGCCTTTGGCGCCACTTCGCCCTGGGCGGAAGGCTGGGGGAGGTAAGACGGGCGCGGCTCTGCCGACACCGTTCCTGGACCCAGGGCTTCCCGAACCGGCCCTCCTGGCACACCCCTCACGAGCCCCGTGCCCCAAAAGGTGGCCCCCCCTCGGGCGCTCCGCGCCCCGCAGCGAGCCCCGGCTGCGGCCCTCGATGCAGGCGCTCGGTGGCCGTCGGCGCGCCCATCTCGGCACACCCGTGGCACGCCCCGTGCCCCAGGTGGGGCCCGGCTGCGGCCCCGGCGGGAGCGTTCGCTGGCCCTCGGCGCGCCCACGTCGGCACGCACCGCTCGCCCGCCTCGCGAGGCGCGCGGGGGCCGGGCCACGGCCTCGGCCCCGGCAGGGGGCGCTCGCGCGCAGGTCGGGGGCGATCGCGCGCAGCCGGCACGCGCGTGTCGGCACGTGTTTTTTTGTTTGGTGCGTCGGCGGTTGGGCAGAGCGACTGCGCTGGCGGAGAGGGCCTGTGTAGGGCGTGCAGGTGCGGATCAAGCCGCAGTGCAGTGGTGGGCCAGTTTTTCACCACCACCACAAGTTGGAGGGGGAGGGGGTCCTCCTCCTCCTCCTCCTCCTCCTCCTCCTTCCTCCTCCTCCTCCTTCCTCCTCCTCCTTCCTCCTGCTCATCCTCCTCCTCCTCCTCCTCCTCCGCCTCTCCCCTCCTCCTCCTCCTCCTCCTCCTCCTCCTCCTCCTCCTCCTCCTCTCCTCCTCTCCACCTCCCTCCCCCCTCCAACGTATGGTGGTGGTGGTGGGTGGACACAAGGAAAGCGCGCCAGTTTATCACCCTGTAATTGAAAGGGGGGGGGGTGCTCGCAGAACTCCCCCCCCGCCCCCCCCCTTCCAAGGGGGGGTGACATTTTCGACCCCCCCCCCCGCCCCCTCCCTTCCCCCCCTTCGCGCCAGAAAGGGAGCCGGGGAGGGGGGGCCTCTATCGCTTCTCCTTTCGGCGCCGGAGAAGGTGCGTAGGGAGTACGGAGTTGGGAGTACGGGGTAGTGAGTAGTGAGTTAGTTCGTAGTGAGTAGTGAGTATTGGGTAGTGAGTGGCGAGTAGGGAGTACGGAGTTGGGAGTTGTGAGTAGTGAGTAATGAATAGTGAGTAGTGTGTACTGATATGTGGGTAGTGAGTAGCGAGTAGTAAGTAGTGAGTAGTGAGTAGCGAGTAGCGAGTACTGAGTAGGGAGTAGGGAGTAATGAGTGGTGGGTACTGGGTTGTGGGTAGTGAGTAGTGGGTGGCGAGTAGTGATTAGTGAGTAGTGAGGAGTGGGTAGTGCGTAGCGCGTAGTGAGGAGGCAGCAGTGAGTAGTGAGTAGTGAGTAGTGAGTAGTGAGTAGTGAGTAGCGAGTAGCGAGTAGTGAGTAGGGAGTAGGGAGTAGTGAGTAGTGAGTAGTGAGTAGTGCGTAGTGAGTAGCGAGTCGTGAGTAGTGATGAATAGAGAGTAGTGGGTAGTGGGCAGTGGGTACTCAGTAGTGAGTAGCGAGTAGGGAGTAGCGAGTAGTGAGCAGTGCGGAGCGAGTAGGGCGTAGTGAGTATTGAGTAGGGAGTAGTCAGTAGTGAGTAGTGGGTACTGAGTTGTGAGTAACGAGTAGCGAGTAGCGAGTAGTGAGTAGTGAATAGCGAGTAGGGAGTAGGAAGTAGTAGGGAGTAGTGAGCAGTGAGTAGTAAGAAGCCGGTAGCGAATAGTAGGTAGTGAGTAGCGATTAGTGGGTAGTGGGTAGTGAGTAGTGACTCATGACTAGTGACTAGAGACTATTTAGTGACTAGTGAGTAGGGAGTAGTGAGTAGTGAGTAATGAATAGCGGGGAGTGAGCAGTAAGTTTTGAGTAGCGAGTTTGGGCGTAGCGAGTAGTGGGTACTGAGTACTGTGTAGTCAGTGTTGTGTAGGGAGTAACGAGTAGCGACTAGTGGGTAGTGAGTAGTGATTTGTGGGCAATGAGTAGTGAGTAGTGGATAGTGGTTAGGGGGTAATGAGTAGTGATCAGTGAGTAGTGACTCGGGAGTAGTGATTAGTGAGTAGTGAGTATTGAGTAGTGGGAGGTGAGGAGTGAGTAGTGAGTAGGGAGGAGGGAGTAGTGAGTATGGAGTAGTGAGTAGCGAGTTGTGGGTGGTGGGTAGTGAGTAGTGGATAGTGAGTAGTGAGTCGTGAGTAGTGAGTAGAGGGTAGTGAGAAATGAGTAGCGAGTAGCCAGTAGTCAGTAGTGGATAGTGAATAATGAGTAGTGAGTACTGTTTGGGGCTGGGATTAATGGTTGGGGTTCGGATTAGGGGTTTGGGTTAGGGTGAGGACTAGGGTTAGGGGTGGCGGGGTTCGGGTTCCGGAGTCAGGGGGCGGCGTGGCGAAAGGGGGGGAGAGTGGGGGGTGCGGCCAAAGGGGGACGGAGGGGGGGGTGTGGGTGGGGGGGGTCCGGACCCCCTCCCTTTTGAAGGGGTGAGGGGGGTGGGGGGGGGGGTCCCGCGACGGACCAGGAAGGGGGGAGGGGGAAGGGGGGGGGTGTCCCGACGACGGACTCGGGGAAAGGGGGGGGGGGTCCCCGACGACGGATCGAGCAAAAGGGGGGGGGGAGGGGTTCCCATCCCCCCCCCCTTGGGGAGATCCAGCGGCGCGCCCTCGAAAACTTTTTGGTCGGCGGGTCGGGAGCGGGCCCGTTCCGATTAAAAGCTAGGCGGGGCGCGCGAAGCCCTAATTGGGGAGTCAGGGCGCGGGCGGGCGGGGCCTCAGGCGGCCGGAGGGTGCAGAGAACAGGCGGTGCCGAAGATCTTGCACAGGACAAGGTACGCCATGGACAGGAGCCGGGGGCGAAGTCCCGGAGGGAGAGTGGATTGGCGTTGCCGTCATCGGCGCGCCAAGAACACCATTTTCGAGTGCTGCGTGAGGAGGGCCGTGAGCATGTCAACGTCCGTGAAGTAGAGGGAGACCAGGAAGGCGAAGTGCACCAGGTGCCACCGACTGGCAAGGAGAGGCCCAGGAGACGAGGAAGACCACGAAGTCGATGTGCAACGTTGTGCCACCGGGTGGTCAGTAGCGGCCTGGGGTGGTAGTCCAATCCACGTCCAGGTAGCAGCCACGAGGTTCGGCATGAAAGCCGGCTGTGTCCGCTTGCCGTGTGCCGGGCCTGAGCCGCGCTGCCCAGGGTGAGCGGGGCCGCCGAGGCGGCAAGCGCCTTCGAAAACAAGCCCATCAATGCGCCCTTCCCCGTTGGAAGTCGCAGTCACGGCAGCAGCGGGCGCGTCCGCCTGCGCGCGCCCCGCCCCAGTCGGCACACCCCGATTTGGCGCTCGTGCCCCAGCAGGAGGACCACCGTCTGCGGCCCCGCTGCGCGCGCGTGCGCTCACCTCGCTCAAGGCGGCACATGCCATCGCACGCGTCGTGCCCCATATGGTAAGGGGGGGCTCCGCTTACGGCCCCAGCGGACGCGTCCGCACGGATTTTTTTCTCTTGCCCCCCACCCCCTCCCTCCACCTCTTCCCGTCGAGGAAGAAGTCACGACGGCAAGTGTTTGGCAGTCTTCGACATCCTGGGACCCTTGTCCGACCCATCCGATCAGGAACTACTCAAGACCAAAAGTGTGCTCTCTGGAAGGGGTCCAGACCTCTGGAGGTGTCCACGCTGTGAAAAACTCGACGTCGGACTCATGGATCCATGCCGTGCGCGCATG